TGTGAGTTTTAGATAACAACTTAAAAGTTAAGGCCTTTTTATTTCTCAAATGCTTGGCTGAAACTAGAAACTCCCAAACCTTAATGGCAGTTTGCTTGTACTTGAAATTTCTTGGGATCAAGTTTATTAAGAGAAGAAATTATAGAAAGTTGAAGAGTAAGAAATCCTAAAACGGGAAAAAGGTTAGTCTCAAAACAGGATCACATAGAAAGTCATAACTAAAAAAATTAGTCAATGAAGAAGAGCTGTCCAAATGTCCTTGCGTCACTCAAAATATCTAGCCCCCTCGAGAGACCATGTGCAGAGCACCAAAGAGAAGCTGTGAATACAATCCTTTCCCAACGCATTATTTCTGTTTAATTGTTTCATTGTACTTTTACTGAGGCTTACTCACCTTGATGTACTGCATCCAGTATTTGAGGTTAAGAGCTCTTCAAAGACAATCCTATACCCATTACTTCTACGAAGCTACTGTTGGAGCTGGTCTTCCAATCATTAACACTTTACAAGGCCTCCTTGAAACTGGAGACAGAATACTGCAAATTGAAGGCATATTTAGGTTCGTTTTGACGCCTTTCTACTCTGTTTGTTTGCTTTAGTAGGTTGAGACAGAACCTCAGCTCTCAAAGTGATGCTTCTGATCTTGAAATCAGTTGTAGTATCCCCAGAGAACGGAAAACACTAGTTCAAGGACTACTAGTGCATATGTGCACATTTCATTGATGCTATACGTGGAAGGTCACTGGCTCTTTGATTTTGCAGTGGGACTTTGAGCTACATCTTTAATAACTTTGAAGATGGTCGGCTCTTTAGTGAGGTAGTCGCTGAAGCAAAGGATGCAGGTTATACTGAGCCAGATCCAAGGGATGATCTGTCTGGAACAGATGTTGCTAGAAAGGTACATGAGACAGTCCTGAAAATATCTTCTGCCTTCCATTGTCAAACGTCATTTAAAAGAAGCTTAGTTTTATCTCAACAGAAGTTTAGTTTTTTTCTTCTCCTTATTTTAAGAGCAGAACTGTTATTTAACTGGGTCAATTTAAATATATGGATTTTCGTGATCAAGTTGGATAAATTCTTTGAAGCTCAAATTTGAATCAAACTACGCATGAGCTTGTATTCAATTTCTATTTAAATCTCATTGTTTGAATTCAGGCTTTAAGCAAATGTTGTGTGATTCAAAGATGCTTTATTAATTTCAGAGTTGAATAAAAACAAAATAATTTGTGAATTTTTAGAAATATCTACCCGCTATACTTGAAAATCTTTAACTATCATGTTGTTAGTTTTCTTTCTGGTCTATAGGTAGTTTTTATTCAACAAATATAAACCCCAGTATCTACATTCATAATAGATATGCATACAGATGGTTTAATTAGTTTTTATATGGTGACCAGATACACATGCCAGTTGTATCAGTACATACTGACATGGCATATTAAGCATAGATGTGCATGAACTGTAAAACACATTTTGTAGATATGTGTAAGTAGTATGCAATAATTGTGGTGACCAAAGTCCAAACCTCAAACAGATGTACAAACACCGGTAGATACAGGTTTGCAAGGGAAAATGTATTGTTATTATTTGGAATTATGTACTGATGTAAGCATACATGGTTTTGTTTTAAAAATAAATTATGGAACAATTATATGAAGCAAATAGGTAGAGTCTATATATGATATACCTAAGTGTAGTGCATATTCATTTTTCATTAGAACTATATGATTATCTCGTAAAGCATATCCATAAAAAATGGGGAAAACAGCTCAAGCATGTACATATCTCGTGTAACCCTTCATCCACAATCATATAGAAATTTGTGTGCATGAATAATTAGTAACTATTTTGTTTATATATAATTTCTCAACTGATACTTAATATATATTTATATATGAGTATAATTTCTTAGCAAAGTTAATAAATAAATATATAATACATTAATAAAAATTTGTTGAATCTCAGATAGTTGTTGAGTATTTTCTTCCACATAAGTTTGTTGAAATTCTGACAAGATCGACTCAAGTTAAATTTGGGCCTGGATAATAGTTCCATAAAAGATCAATTACTTTACAGCCTTAACTATGAGGGTAAACCCTATTGATTCAGTAAATAAAACTATATTTGTTGATAGTCCTTTATGATGAGATGCCCTGTTCATTGGGGAAATGGAAGATAACTTGGGGTAGTAAGGACAATGCATGGTTTCATGATAGCTGGGTGGCCATGTAATATATGGGCCAACGACCTTATCAGTTATGCTTCATAAACTCCTTTATCTGCTCTCTGTTATTTAGTTCTTTATCATTTAAAGCAATATTTTTTAAGACATTATGGTGTTACAGGTGATAATTCTTGCACGGGAATCTGGTCTGAAGCTTGAACTATCTAATATTCCTGTTGAGAGCCTTGTGCCGGAACCACTAAGGGTAAAATTTAGTTTCTGATACAGTAAGAGTTCTTGAGTAAGTGTGTAATATTATAATTAACATGACTGTTCTAATGTTTTCATGCAGGCAAGTCCATCGGCTCAGGAGTTTATGCAACAACTACCCAAATTTGACGAAGATATGATGAAGAAACAACAGGATGCTGAGAATGCTGGGGAAGTAAGTAACATAAAAAGTATTTGAAGGAAATTAACTATTTAATGGTGCATTAGGTAGTGGAAATATGGTTAACAGTGTCAACCCCCAACGCCCCCAAAAAAAAAAAGAAAAAAAAAGGAAAAGAAAAAGAGTTGACATGGTTTTGTAAGCATGATAAACAGCATGTTACCCTAGATCCTAGTTGTTGATGCTGTGCGGCGCAGTGTTGCCAGAAGGGCTTATGGAGCTGTGCTGCATGTTGCATTGCTAAATTCAAGAGCAAGACATATAATTATAAAATACAAAAATAAAAAGAAAGGACAAACAAAACAACACATGCTGCTGGTCGGCTGGGCATTTTCTGATTTCCCATGTTTGTTAGGGTTCTTAACAAACCTTAAACTGGAGGGTGAAGGATGCCAGGATATTTCACTTAATTGGTCAGAAGCATATCTTCATAAAGCTTAAATGTCCCTCTTGCAAGTGGTGCGGTATTGTCCTGTTCATGTGCCATTGGCTATGGATGGTCATATCCGTCATTAGTTATTTGATCGTGGCATCTTTCTTTTGTATGAGTTTGGCTTAGTATTTCATTTAACGAATCTGATGTGTCTGAAGGTTCTGAGGTACGTTGGGGTGGTGGATGTGACTAATAAAAAGGGAGTGGTTGAGCTGCGAAGATACAAGAAGGATCATCCATTTGCACAACTGTCCGGGTCAGATAATATTATTGCATTCACAACAAGAAGGTACAATAAGCAGCCTCTGATAGTTCGTGGACCAGGAGCCGGTGCTCAAGTCACAGCTGGTGGCGTGTTCAACGACATTTTACGTCTTGCCTCATACCTTGGTGCCCCATCATAGAGTTGTCATTCTGTAAGCATTAGTTTTCAATCTAAGTTGTCCTTCTAGCCTTAGCATTTGCTCTCTAGGCTTGCTTGGTGGAGCTTGGAGTAACGTTGTACAATACACGTCTTAGCCTTGTTCTTCGAATGGATAGGCCCTTTTCTTTTATTAATTTAGGCAGCATATGTTGATTCACTTGCTTTTTGAGGCATTGACAAAGCATGATGGGATTGTCTCCCTAATTTAAAAGTAGGCATCTAGAAGCATTTTTCATCTGCATTACATGGATTGTGTTGTTTGTTCATGTAATATCAATAGCGTGACTTGTAGTGTTAAGAATTTATATGAATTATTTGATAATAATTAAAATATAGCTAGATAGGAGGACATGCGCGATGCGCATTGCGTGAGTTTCATTTCATATTGCGAGTCGCATAATTCACTTTACAAAGTATGGCTTACTGTGGAGTTATCTGATGTAGATATAGATTTTACATTTCAATAAAAATATCCAAGTCTCTTCTAAACGAATGCATGAATATTAAAACTAAATATCACGTAAATATTTTTATATGAATTCTTTTTGATAAAAGGGTTCAAGTTTTGTAATGTTATTCGAAATGTAGCACCAAATTTGATAATTTGTAGGCTTGAATGTCGTGTCTAGGGGGTAACTTTTAAAGTGTTTTTTAAAAGCATTTTTTCTTAAATCAAGATGAACTCTTCGACATATTTATTTTGTATATTATAAAAATATTTTTAAAACTGTAATTTTGTTTTTACTCAAACACTTTTTTAGCTGACAAAGATAATTTTTTTCCCACTTTTTTAGCTGACAAAGATATTATAAAAATAATTTTTTTTACTCAAGACTTGATACTAATTGAAATTTCGTATATTATAAAATTGGATTATCTTTTTTTTTTTAAAAAAAAAAGAGATATTATATAAAACGAAAAATGTTTGCCTACGTGGAACTGAATTTGCGTACCCACCAGGGAAAGGAGTTTTATTCGATTGACTCAAGCTTTTGGAATATATATCTTATCTATGAAATTATAATTAGTTGCTAATTTTATTACTAATTTTTATTGAAGAACACGTAATTTTAAAATATTCCTAATTTTTCTCCATTCAATTTCATCTAATGCACTCTAATAAAAGGGAAGAAAAAGCTTAAGCTTATAAACTTAAAATTGACACACAAAAAGTATATTCAACATGTTTTATTTCAATTAAAACAGGACAAATGAATTTATTTACGCATTGTTTAGCCTATTGTTAACTTTTATTATTAATATATTAACTCAGGTCCTAATTATAAGACTTTGTCTGTTAACTATAAATAGGGTTTTATAATTAGAACTAGAGGTAGTATCTATTTAAATTTGAAATTCACATGTTCTAGTTTGATTTAAGAAGTTAATTCTTCTCCTGCAAGCAGTCGCGCAATACCAAATTCACTCAAATGTCTATCTGCACGGCAAGCAGACCAGAATGATAGCTCGGCCTCGAGAAGCAAAATCTATCATTCTAAATTCCTAGGTGCCAGCATTCACACCCCCTGCCTAAGCAATTTTGCACAGCAGTGAAACACACAGGCACAGCCCTCTAAATTTCCAATTACAATCGCATCATGAAAATTTCAAAAATAGAATGTAGAGAAAAAGTGAAGGAACCGTCTTATTTACTTGAGATGATAACTGCTGGATCAGTGTTTTTCCTAGCTGAAAGATTCAATGGGCATGAATTACTAGTTTCTATTTCCTCCAAGTGAATAAGTTTGCCATTGTTTAATGTTTTCCCCCCTCGAATTCATGGATACATAATGCCTACGAATCTGCATAGGATTCAAATTTCGTAGTCCGCACTGCGATTGGGCTCCTGACGAAATGCTGGCCATCTGTCCATGTTAAGCTACCGAATTTGTAATATCCATTTAGCTTTTGGGTTGACACAAAAGTGATACTGTAGGAAAGAACCTGGGTTGTTGAATTGAAGCTCAGAAGTTGAGGTTCAACTCCAACTTCTATGCCATACGGTGCCCTCACTATAGCTTTATAGGCCGCACTTACATTTCCCACATTTGTCACTGTTCTCGTTACTGTTACCGTCTTCTTCAGATTTGGGATTGATATGGAAGGAAGATTCAGGTTCAGTCCTGGATTCCTTTCTTTTACACAGCTTGGGGTGGTTTTGGTGACTCTGCTGATTGATCCACTGCTGTAGCTCATAGAACAAAGGAACTGAATATATTCCTGGGACTTAATGTCATATAGGAGACCTGGATCCATGGCCTTGTTAGGGTTTACTAGGCCACCCCCTATGTCAAATGGATCGGCCGCTTTACGAGTAGAACCCTCTTCAGATATGACGTCTCCATCGGTTGCAGTCTGAGAAGCTGCAGTTTCCATTAATGAGAAAAAATAGTTAGGTTTGGTTGAAGAATGTTCAAAAGGGATTTGGTGGTATGATTTCCAACTGATTCACCTGTTGTTACAAGAGCTGATCTTATGGCTGCAGGTGACCATGTTGGGTGTTTTGCTTTGATGAGAGCTGCTATTCCTGCTACATGGGGACAAGACATTGAAGTCCCAGATAAGAAGGCAAATCCACTGTTTTGAGTTCTGGCCTTTGGTGGAAATGAAGCCAAAATGTCCACACCTGGCGCAGCTATGTCGGGCTTACCATCGCCAGAGTAGAAGTTGATGATGACACCATACAAGCAAAAACAGAGTAGGGCCTTATTAATTTATGGTGAGATGCTGATTAAAAAATTTACTATATGTAAGACTTGACTTGAGAGACGTTTTCTAACTTCATTTATCTCCCCTGAAAGCATAAATTATACGCCTACGTGCTACAAATTGTATTATTATGGGGCCTCGGTATCTTGTATGCCTCTGATTTTCTTTCTTGGGCTTCTCTGCTGAACGTTCAGCATGATTCGTGAAGTACACGTAGCTACGACTGAACTCGGTTCTGCAAGTGAAGGTCCCGTTTGTACGTTTCTCTTCTTTTTCTTCTCTTTTCTATTTTGGGCTCCAAGTTAACAATGAAACGAAGAGAAAGGCCAAGTTGAAGGCTCAACCTCTGCTTTTGTCTTTGGAAGAAGTTGCTCATAAGGAAAAATGACAAACTTTTTTCTTCTCAGAACTATGATTTGAAAAGAGTTGTTAACTTTTTAAATCATGTTTTTCAAATCATGTTCTGAAGCATCTCTCTCGAAAATCTTTCACCTTTATGTTTACTTTTGTCTCAGTTTCATAACAGGTTGGTCTTATCAGGGGGAAAATACACCTAAGAATTGAAAATTTGAAGTCCAGGGAAGTGAGAATACCTTTAGCACGGTTGGAGACATGGTACTTGGTCCTCTAGATGAGAAAGAAGCCACTCGAGGAGATGCCCATTTTCCAATGACGGTCTTCGGAAAATTCAGTTTTGCTGTTGGAAACCTTCCACATAGCCTCAGAATCAATTGTTCAACTCAGAAAAGATTCAGCAAGTAATGTTGTCGATTCACTGACAATTCCTCACCTTGCTCTTCTGATATAGGATATGATTTGCGTTCCCACTTCATAATTTACTTTAATACATGGAATCGAACTGCATTTGGTGAGTCCGTCCTCATGAAATTGTGCATATATTAATCCAACTCCACCAGCTTTTCGTACTGTGATTTCTGCGGAAAGGATATTTTGTTGATCGGACTCCGAGAGGCACAGAACAATTTTGCCTGCTGCTACTGTTGCATTTAGACTTCCTGGCTGACAATCCTTGCTGGAAAGAAAGACATAGACTGTTGTAGTTGTAACAAACTTGATAAATGGGATTAAAAGGGTAAATTAAAATTTAGTCCCCTGTGTTTTGACCTGAAACTAGTTCCTTCTCGTGTGGTTTAAAGTGTATCATTTAACTTCTTTGTGGTTTGTTTAGTACTTGACGACTTCCTGTCTTCTGTCCTAATTTTAACAGAAATAATCACAGCAGGCTATTATATTAAGGAGTTGAATAAAACACTTCAAACCGCATAGAGGCAAACAGATTTTGAGACACACTGTCCGAGGAAAATTAAAAAATGAATAAATAAGGATAGCAGGAAGAGAGTTCTCACGCCAAATCATCTTTTGGATCTAAAGCTATGCGTTCAGAGTACGTAAGCCCTACAAATCCAATATCACGTTCCCCAGTATCAATGGACTGTCCCTGCATTAGGTAAATGGACATTATGAGATATTTTAGTTGAGGGTGCTATTTCATTGGTATGGTTTGAAAATAGGTGATCATACCCAGACTGTGTGGTTATTTCCAAGAGTAATGGTTGTTGGAAAGCCCCTGTCTATTGTGGTGGCTGCAACTGTAATTAGCCAAGGTGCAGTATTTGTAACGGTTTGCGATATGGGGCCATCGTTCCCAGCAGAACAAACAACTGTGATTCCCTTGGCATTTGCATGAAAGGAACCGATGGATATTGTGTCGCGTTGCTCCACATAAGAGAACAAAGGAATATGAAAGCCTAAAGAAATAGACAAGACATCTACTCCATCAAGTATAGCCTTGTCAAAAGCTTTTAGGACATCAGCATCTGTGCAACCTCCAACAGGCATGCCCCAGCAAGCTTTGTAGATTGCTAAGTGAGCCAAAGGGGCTCCTCCTCTGGCTAGACCACTGGCAAGTCCGCCATAATTTGCTTTTCCTACAAAGTACCCAGCTGCTGTAGAAGCAGTATGAGTTCCATGACCAACACCATCTCTTGCTGAGAGAAATTCATTGCTGTTATTTGAATGGATGAGCTTCTCAATCATTTTTGTTATTCCTTTTGCAAACCACCGAGCACCAATTATCTTCTTGTTGCAGTTGGTAGAATTGAAGTGCTCTCCAACTTGGCAAATGCCTTTCCATCGTGATGGGATAGGACCCATTGCTTCGTCATTAAAACTTTCAGACTCTGGCCAGATTCCTTCAAGGAATCAAATTCGTCTTAGTCAATTTGCCGTGTGTTCTGGTTAATTTCTATCTTTATGAGAAAGAGGATAGTCAGTACCTGAGTCTATGATACCTATGATGGTCCCTTTACCAAAGTTGCTTTCTGTGAAAGCGGTTCTTGAGAAGGAACGGCTGATTCCAATGAAGTCCCAGCTTCTGGTTGTATGGAGTTTGTGAATGCGATTCGGAATGACATGGATAACACCCGGAAACTCTACATCAAATTGGTTCATTGCTATTAAAGGTGATGAAATGGACTGCATATCAAATGTTAAAATGAAAGCAAACAAGATACTCGCAATTTCTTCCGCCTGAGATTTTGTCAATCTTGCTGCAAACCCTGAAAACCCATGCTTATAGCTGTAAAGAATTGAGTTTTTTGCTGCTCCTTTGCTTCATTACATAGGGGAAACACTTGCCGTTATTATTACCTTCATGGCCCTTGTTGAAAAAGGAATCAGCAGAAATTCGAGCCATACCTTCCTAACAATGAAGTTAGCATTCTGTGGTGATCCTTCTTTGTGGTTTCTGGATCATCATGTATCTTATCTCCCATATACACGATATGAACCTGTAAGTATTCCCTTGACTAGTAAGCATGCATGCTCGAATATTATACAAATCTACAGGCTTAGACATGGTAGCAGAGATATAGAAGCCAAGTTGCACTCACACTAGTCGCTGCCTCAGTAAATGTATCGGAAACGATAAGATCTTTTAGGAGTAAAAGAAGAGCAAAAATTACAAACAAGTGGCTCTCTCTTGGGCATCTCCGGTTTCTTGGATTACTATCCATTGCAAGAGGGAACTACAAAGTCTTTCAAAAGTTCTCAGAGCTCACTGAGAGTTGCCTCAAGTTCTGTTGTTTTATAATTTTGCCTTCCCAATCCTATTATGTATGATGTTCATATAACTTTATAAAAGTGAGAAAAGATGATGTCCTTTTCTTTTATCTGGTTCACTTTTGCACTTTATGTTCGATTATAGAAAAAGCAAGCATAAATTTTCTTTCAAGCAGAACGTATTGACGGTGCAAAATATGACCGTATACAACTTACATGGGAAGATATCAAAGCACTGGTTGGAAATGCTATATCTTTTCGCTCTGCCGTTTTCTAACAATAAAATCGATAAGTATTTGTTGTTACTTTTATGATGCTTCATTGAAATTTAAAGTGACTTTGAATAGGCAAGATTTTAGTTGTTTAATGTCGGATTCTTCAATGAAATATTAAAAGTAGGAAGACACTATTTCAAACACTGTTGAGTCCATTTTGAAAATTGTCCTCCGCTTAGATACTTTTCAAGGGCGGTGTTGTGCTACCAGAAAACCTCTCCATGTTGAGCACTGTGACATAATTATTTTCTTTCATTTCATTTTGTAGCCACCGGTTTTATGCAAGGCTATACACTATAAAGAAGTTTTTGCTCGTATTGTGGGGTTAGCGATGGTCCTGATGGACTCCCATCATGGAGGGTTCATTTCAACCTTTTCTTTGTGAGATTCCCATTTCAACTTTTGCTTTTCTTTCTTATCCAATCACAGTACAGTCATGGGTGGGGAATCAGCATATAATAGTTCTCTCAGGGGAAAGTAAGATTGCCTCTCATCGTGCAAACCCCACAATTATTTCAATTTCAGAGAGTCTCGATGCTTAAGTTTCAGAAAGTTGGCTTCTCAAAAAAATGCTGCAACTGATAGAATATGACTTAATTTCAAGTTTCATTATCAGGATTTGTTTCCATCACAGACTGCATGCAGTCCTGATATGTCATTTAGATGAGGAAGTGGCGAGGTGAAGTGGAAGACAGGTTGAAAAAGAAATGTGCAGTTCTGGATTTTCTAGTAATTATAATTATCTTGTTTTGTTTCACTTCAACGTAAGTTAAGACAAAACTCCTTTCACATGCTTAAATCATAGTTCGTAAGGATCCTATCACAATTCCAAAACAAGCCCAAACCTCATCCATGCTTCTCTCCATGCTTATTAAATTTACAAAATCATGCATTATGCACAGACATTATGATTACATTGTTTTATTTATAATTGCCTGAATTAATTTGCCTCTCCTTTGTAAAACCGTAGTTACCAGCAAATTCTTCTTAATTGTATGAGCAAGCTTGCCAAATAAGTATTGCGCAATCACTGTTTTAAATTTTGTTAAAATTATAATTTCTATATTTGTCAAAATATACACTTCTAATTTAAATTTAGGTTGTTTATTGAAATATATTTTGTTAGCAACTGTACAATTTGAAGCTTTTGCGGTTAGACTTTCAGAATAGAAGAATGACACGAAAATAGTAAGCACGTTTGGGATTCTGTTCGAATGTATGATTTCAATCATACAATGGACTGCAAGTAATTCGAATTGCAAAATTTATTAATAGTTGACTTCTGCAAATACAAATTGCAAGCATACCTACGCCTCCATGTGTTCCCTGTTGGAAGCCAACCTAAAGTAAACAATGACGAGGCATACATGTGTTTCTTCCTAAATAGATAGCACCCGATGGTGGCGGTGCCATTAATTCATTAGTCAGTTGATATGATAAAAACTGAATTTTTATTTGTATGAATTGGCGTCCCACAACGAAAAAGAAAACAGAGAATAAGAAAAGGACTTGAATACGTTGGATCGAGTTCGAGTGGTTGCAGATTTCTGGTCAGCCCCACCATTCAAGCCTCAATCTATGGATTGATCCAACCTCCATTAAATAATTCAAACATGCACGTTGTCCAAGCACCTACCACTCCCCAGTTCCATCAATCTCTTCTATTTCCTTTTTTCTTTTCTTTTTTTGGGTAATTAAACTATTCTTCTGTGATTAAACCCAAGTAACTTTTCAATCATGAGAGAACATCACCAAAAGCCAAATTGAGAGAATGAGAGTGTTAAATCATGAGAGGAGAAATGTTGGGGTTGGAGGGTGGTTCAATGAGACAACAAGTGATGAGATGTGGCAAATAGATTTGAAGGGAGCATGGAGGCTGAACCAGTAAGTGATGGGTCTTCAAAGAGAGAAGTGCAAAAACTGGTATCCACGTTATATGTTGCTGCACCGAACTACCAAACCCATCTTGGCTTAATAATAATGTGGCAACTGCACATGACATGATGAAACGTGGCTTAAAAGGTGAAATCCCGCAGCACACATCCAAATCACCTTACAAGGCCATGCAGTAGGAGGAGGCCCCACACCATGTGCCCTTTCATTTCTGCCCAAAAAGCTATCTCTGCTTTGCTTTTTCCTCTGCCTATTTCATGAATAAAGCCTATTCCCCGACTTTTATCTGAAACTGAAACACCTTCACTTGCGCTGTAGAGAACCGATTTGCTAAAGATAAAAGAGCCTTGTTATTTTCCAAGCGGATCTTGGAATGGGCGCAATTCTCCGGTGATTGTGATTTATTTACGCGCTTTTGGCGGTCTTGCAAACAAACGCTTTCACAGAGCATAAACAATATCAACCCACTAATCTCGTTAAAAGCATTAAAATACACATTTGATCTCGTAAAAAGAATATAATACATACAATTCACATTGCTATGGGCCCTTCCCTTCCCACTTCTAAAGAAGAATAATAATCCCTCCAATCTGATCTAGCATCCGCGCCTTCAAAACAAAACCCTTTCGCTAAATAAACACTGACTCAGACACAAAGTCAAACTTAAACATGCCCAGGTTTTTTCCCTCCGTAAAGGAGACTCCCAGAAGAACCCCAAAAAAATAATTAAAATAATCAACTTACTTTAAAAAATTATAAAAAAATCGTGATGCTATTCGGCGATGCTGCCAGATCAAACAGCTTGACGGCCTTCGGTTTTCATTTCATGTCCTTTGATCAAGTCCTCCACTCTTATCCCAGGCGAGAAGTGTTAAGTTGATGTCTCAACTCGGGCTCCCATTTTTGTTACCTGCAATCCATTGACCCGAAGGAGTCTGCGAAGCCCGAAGGCTTAGAGGGGATGCTTGATTGGGTTTGTGAGAGGGACATGTCATTAAACATTGCAGAAGTGCCTTCGTTGGCTTGCCATCTTTGCAGAGCTTGAGGTAGGCTCATATGAAGGTCAATTCCATAACCTTCTTCTTCTTCGTGGTTAGTTGGTTTCCACTGTTCTACAAGAGGAACCAACACATTCACTGCATGGCCCATGTCTGGCCTTTGGTATGGCTCGCGAGCAGTACAGTGCCCTGCAAGCTCGGCGACCTTATATATGCTCTCCATCGTCTCCTCGTCAGGGTCTAGAATTTGATCAATAGCCTTCGGGATGTTATCTTTGTTAATTAGAACCCTGCGGAACCATGACACCAAGTGAGACCTTTCATCTGGGACAGTGTCATCCAATGCCTTTCTACCAGTGATCAATTCCATCAAAACAACCCCAAATGCATAAACATCCACTTTGGTTGTCACTCTTCCAGTAGCTGACAACAAAAACAGGAAATTTGTTAATGGCAAAGTAAAGGAATTTTGAACATCGGAGTGTTCTCTCTCTCTCTCTCTCTCTCTCTCTCTCTTTTTAATTTGAACTTTTTACTGGCTACTTATGTGCAATTATACATTTGGATAGTATCACGGTCATGCAAAAGAAAATATATATATTCTCAAAACAGAGAAGAAGTGAACGGATTAGTTCCATAATGCACAAATTGTAGTGCTGGCCGAATTAATTCATCTTACCATTAACAAATAGGAAAGTACAGTCACGAGGAAATCAAGATGTATCATTAAAAGTGTAACCTTGTATATACCGTAATAACTAGTATTCCTAAGGAACTGTCATCTAAACCTCCAACAATCCAGCAATCCATGATTATTATCAACCCGAAGAATTGATCACATCAAAACGAATACTTGACAACAACCTCTCAATATAATTCAATTATGGCACATCACTTAAAATTCCCTGAGCCATCTACCAAGGAGAATCATAGGGCACACAATGCTGCAGAGAATAATTCATGAAACGTAAGGGAAAACGCTAAGAACTAGCCACAGAGCAAAAGTAAGAACAACAAACTAGCCACATCATTTAGGAATCAAACATGAATTCTTTTCTATGCCGAATGTTGTTCAGGTTTTTCCTCCATTAATATAAAATATACAAAGCTGGCCAAGTAGAACTCATGAAGCTGAAGCTGTACCAAAAGTTATAACAGAATAATGAATAAATAAAAACCTTGAAAATAAAATGCAAGCTACCTGCATATTCAGGTGCAAGGTACCCAAAAGTTCCAGCCAAACGTGTCTCAACAGAATACTTTCCATCAGGTGCATTTTTAACCAACCCAAAATCTGCAACCTTCGCTCTCATGTCATCACCTAGAAGTATGTTTGAAGGCTTCAAGTCTCTGTGAATGAAGCTTTGTTGAGCTAAGCTGTGCAAATATTCCACTCCCCTTGCCACATCCAAAGCTATTGCTACCCTTTGCTTCCAAGTCAGAGCTGCGCACCCCTTCTCACTCCATTCAAAAAGATGTTGTGTTAGCGTGCCTTGAGGCATGTACTCATAAACTAACAGCCTTTCATTACCATTAATGCAATATCCTAAAAGAGCAACCAGATGCCTGTGCCTAACTTTTGTAAGGACTGCAATCTCTGCTTGGAATTCATTCAATCCTTTGCTTCCCATTGCAACAGATTCCATCCTCTTCACAGCAATTTTTGTTCCATCATGCAATTCCCCTTTGTAAACAACTCCAAATCCCCCCCTGCCCAAAATGTTATCTTCACTGAAATTATTTGTTACTTGGCGAAGAACTTGAATTGAAATTGTAGCATTGCCACCGTCAAAAACATGAAGGTCACTACGGTCGCCACTGCTCTGGCTATGTAAATCGCTTGGAACTCCAGCA